ATCTTTATTGAAAAAAAAAAATAAAAAAAAAAAAATTCTGCCCAGTGTCACATACTTTCAACAAATGCGCATACTTTTGTACTTCAATGTCATACTTTAAAATACAATTTACAGTTTACCCTAAAACTGTAATTTCTCCCTTTGTTAATCCAGAAAGAACGTCGGGAAAAGTATCTTGCTCGGCAGCAAGTTGAAGCGGTAAATTCAGGGTGAAACGAATATGCGTCGAGCTCGGTAAATTAAATCCCGATTAATGAAATTCTCGATGCATTAGTGAGTAGAGAAGAATAATTGGGCTGAGCGTTCATTCTTTATGTGACCAGCATGTGTTCTAGAGTTAATTGCATTGTTTTTCACTTTACTGTAAATATTTTTTTTTTTATTTTTTTTTTTCAAATGTTGCAAGAATTGTTCTCTCCAGGGGTCAATACAATGGGAGTGTACATTGAAGTCTTGAATGTGATTGGTATAATCTGTTCAATGTTTTATTAAATAACGTTTCTTTGTATTTGATTATTGGATTTGGTTGGGTTTGTAACTTTGTATTTGTATCACTTGTTGTATGCTTCTTTCTTCTTAATTTGTTACAGAATTTCTCATTTATGTGAAGATTGGTTCCATTTATTTATTATTTTTTGGAGAATATATGAAGTTATTCAATGAATTTCAAATTTGTAGCTTCTATTTGGGTTATTGTGTATTTTCTCTGTTTCACTAAGTTTTCGTTGAGGAGAAAAATAGAAGAATTTAACAACTCGTGTTAAAGTTACGTTTATTTTGAGTTATTCTGATTAACACCTTTCGAATGATTCTTAACATCCCCAAACTCGTCTTACATCAAATTTCAAGTCCCTTTCTGTTAAGTTCTACTTTGTCTCGAACCCTTCGATTGCTCTTCTCGAACAGGTTTATGTCTTCTCGATCGCCGGTACCTACAAAATGTGATGGGGGTGGTCCCGACGCCCGACACTTCGATGCTCAAGTCAGGAATAGATCTGAGAGAAACTAGTCACTAGTCACGAGACAATCAATGTTTTCAGTATATCTCCCCCCTCAAAATAAAGCAAACCTGCCCCTTATATAGGTCTCCTTGTGTTGTAACTTGAAGAGACTTCGGGTTATGATCAAGAATCCCTCGCCCAGACGTCTCTCAACGATACGCAACTTTTCCGAAATCTTAGAATCCTTATCCCCTCTAACTCTGCTAATTATCGGGGAGCTGATTCCTTTAACCACACGAAATCACCGTATCCTAGTATCTAGTCATCCTACTACTGAGCTTCACCTTTGGCATACCTTGACGTTTTTGCCGAGCTCCTCAGCTCAGCCCGAGCTTCACTTCTGGAATACCTTGACATTTTGCCGACCTCCTCCTCAGCTCAACCCGTTGTAACTCCTCCGGCACCCTAGAGCTCACATCCGTGCTGATACCTCGGAGCTGAGCACATAGCCGAGCTGATACCTCGGAGCTCATGGCTGAGGCAGCTGGTGCCACCCCTACAATCACCGAGCTCTCCGAATATAAACCGCCTATCTAGGTACACTCTACCAAAATCTGGCTTAGCCTCAGCTAATTACAAACCATTCCTTTATTCCCCATCACTAGGTAAGGGTGATATCCAACCAAAACCCAGCTTAGCCTAAACTAATTACAAAACATTCTTTTATTCCCCATCATCTAGCCCCCCAAATTTAGAGGACGAATTAGCATAAGCCTCAAGTTGTCTGAGAAATTATATCATATAGGCATTATGTTTTCTACCAACTTACCACTTTTCCATCTTCAAGCGGCTTTGTATTATATATTCATCAAAATATTAAGAGCTCGCCACATCCTAAATACCTGGTGGTCGTCGCATCTTTTAAGCCTCAAATTTGTCACATCAAGCCCGGAGCTCGTCAGAGCTACGAGCATGGCGAACTCGTCACTTGCCATATCCATCACACCGCGATCTCGTCAATAATACGGGTTAGTAAAAACCACGAGCTCATCCTATTTCAGAATACCATGAGTCCCGTCAAAAACTGCGATCCCATCAAAATCTCGAGCTCGTCACAACTACGAGTTCGTCAAATACCGCGAGCTCCTCAAAATCTCGAGCTCGTCAAAACCGGCGAGCTTGTCAAAATCGGGAATCTCTTTAAAGTCTCGAGCTCGTCGGAACCACAAGCTCGTAAAAACCGCGAATCTCTTTAAAATCTCGAGCTCGTCGAAACCACAGGTCGTCAAAATCTCGGGCTCGTAAAAACCGCGAGCTCGTCATTCGCCATATCCACAAAACCGCGAGCTCGTCACACACTTTTGATCTTATTTTTTATTAATTTACTTTCATAAAAATTGTTGACCACGATGAGTTGTCCCCCATCGTCCTCAACACGCTCAATTCTACATCGTTGATCTTGCCTCGATCGAACGGACTCAAATCGGCCTTCCCTTCGCCTTCCTTTCCAAAGCCCCCCCTCCCCCCTATAAATACCAACTTCCCCATCTCTTTCCTACTTTACTCTCTTCATTCGACCTTCTCCCTCACACCCAAAATCTGGCGCATTGCTCTCCTTTCCTCCACGACCTCGGCAAACAGGATCCCCCATCTCCCATCTCCATAATCATGTCCGGTGGCTTCATGTGTAAGTGATGCAGTCCCTCTCTCGTTTTGTTTTTTGTTTTCCCTTCTCTTTTTTGTTTCGAAGGTAACTACTACCATCACTCGTATTGATATGTATGTGACCAGCTATTTGGGTGTTCATTAATTTTTCATACCCTAATTTGTGGTTTAGAAAACTTACCCCCGTCAACTAATTTAAGGCCTTACTCCCATTCGAATTCAGAGCTGAATGATGAACCGTCGGTGGCCTTAGCCTTATTGGCGTCGGCGAGTGGAAAAACTCCCATCTCGGCCAACGCGGCTGGTAAGGCAAAAAACACAACTCATACGTTTAAGTCGGCACATCCCTGTCTCCTTTCTTCCTTCTCAACCGATATAATAACCAAAGTATTTAACGAGATTGAGCTACCTAAGGGTTGGGAACTCAAGATACCTCGCCCAGGCGATACGTATTTCAATCCACCAAATGGTTTCTACACTTTTTTCCTTGATCAAGCGGCCACCGAGCTTAGGTTCCCTTTGCGCGAAGACCTTCTAGAGCTTAGCAGATTATATTGATTACCCTCTAAATCATTACCCACCCAACTCCATCAATTGCTTGTAGGCTTGGATGACAGCCCTCGGCACTTCGTACTATTTATCCACTCGCCACAATGTGCATTTCCTTAGCCAACCCAAGTCTAAAGTGCATAATTGGAAAGATAAGTTCTACTTTGTCTCGAACCCCTCGATCGCTCTTCTTGAACCGGTTTATGTCTTCTCGATCGCCGGTACCTGCAAATGCGCCGAGGGTGTTCTCGACGCCGACACTCTGACGCTCAAGTCAGGAATAGAGCGTCAGGAATAGAGCCGAGAGAAACTAGTCAAAAGTCACGAGACTATCAATGTTTTCAGTATATATTCCCCCTCAAAATAAAGCAAACTTGCCCCAATGCCCCTATATAGGTCCCCTTGTGTTGTAATTTGAAGAGACTCCGGGTTATGATCAAGAATCCCTCGCCCAGACGTCTCTCAACGATACACAACTTTTCTAGAACCTTAGAATCCTTATCCCCTCCAACTCTGCTAATTACCGGGGAGCAGATTCCTTTAACCACACGGAATCACCATATCCGAGTATCTATTTATAGAGAATGAAAAGATAGAAATTGTAATTATGTTCTAAAATATATCAAGAGTGGTCTCTATTTATAGAGAATGAAAAATAAATTTTTATTTATTTTTTTCATATAAATTAATATCAATAATTTGAGTTACAATTATCTTATTATAGAAAAATTTATAGACCAATAAGAATGGGACACTTGCCCCATTTCACTCATCTCTTTTCTCTCTCCCTCCTTGTGGCTAGGTTGCGATCCAGAGTCACAATTTGACCCGGGTCACGGATTTTGCTATTTTTTTATTCTTTTATTATTTTTTAGTTGGTGACTTAATAAAGATAGTATAATATTTATTTTATTTTTATTTATTTATTTAATAAATATTATCTACAATACATTGTTTGGTATTGGTTTATCTACAACCTAACCCAACATAATAATTTCAATTGTGTTCCAAAACATATCAAGAGTGGTCTCTATTTATAGAGTACGAAAAAATACGAATTGTGATATTTTCTATTTTATTTTTTAAAATAAAATAATATCAATAATTTGAGTTATACTTATCTTATCATATAAAATTTATAGTGGACCAATAAAAATAGGACAAGTGTCCCATTCATATTGCATGAAAGTTAGATAATATGGAATCTCCAAAAAATCCGCATGTAATCTTTTTATTTAGATTTTTTGATTTATTTTTTTTTTTTTCAAAAATTTCAAAATTGGTTGAATGACGCTCAAATTTCAATTTTTTGCCAAAAATCTTTAGTTTCATTATATTGACTTTAGGCGGGAAATGAATTCTTTTTTTGCTGATTTTTTTTTAATCTTTTTTCAAATAAATGCCTCCCCTCTTTATATATTAATAATAGAAAAATTATGAATTTTGGTATTTTTATTTTATTTTTTTAATGTAAATAATTAATGATATTTTAATTTATGTAATATGTCCTATTTTTCAATTAAAAAGGAAAATTAGGGATGTGAACTACACTCTCCAAATTTCTCTAGTATTGGGGAGTTTTGGGGAGTAAAGGAGCGCGTGCAAATGTGCCCTGCACACACACGACCGTACTGAGTGTTCAGTACCCAAAGATGTGTATTATCATGATACTTGTGATTTTATTAGCATCAAGTCAAAATGATTGTTACGTGTAGATTAGGCATCTATTTTATTGAAAACATAGTAAACTATTTAAGTTAGAAAATTTTGAAAAAAAAAAATGTGCTCTAATTAATAAAAAATTTAATTAAAAAATTACATACAGAATGATGCCATGGCACAACATATATTGAATCCCAATCTTTGTGGTGGCTTAATTCTATTGGCCACAAAATCCACATCACTTCTATATGCACCATTATACACACATAAATATAATGCCCCAAAAAATATTTAGGAGTAAATTAAATTAGTAGAGAAAAAGTGGAATAAAATTGATGCTAGATACTTATATGCACAATTAATTATTATTTATATATAAATAGATAGCAAGCAATTCTAGTTTGCTAATTTTTTTTTTTTTTCCTGATAAAAAATTTATTGTAATCTAGAGAATGTTAGAAGTCAAGTCAGTGGTCAAAGAGACTGATATGCTGCAAACTATGCAGCAAAATGCACTCAATTTGGCAGCCAAGGCTCTTGATTTTTCTTTGATGTTACTGACTCAACTGACATTGCCAGATTCATTAAAAAGGTACCTTAATTATTTATTTTACTTATCATATTTTCTCCTTTGTTAAATTAACGATTTATTATTTTTCGTTCAAAAAGTATGGTGATACTGATACGCAATTACGCATATCAGTTAAGCCGATTCAACCAAATTTACTAGTAAGACTACTGCTATTAGCTGAGTCTGACGCTTAATTATTCATACTTTGATATTGAAATTTCATACTCTGAAAGTGTTATGAATCGACTCGCCTAACTATATGCAGTTTCATACAAGAATTTGTGTTATAGATTATTCTCACTTCAATTACACGTTTATTGTTTATTGTAATTGTAGGAATTTGATAGGGTTTATGGGCCGGGTTGGCAATGTATCGTGGGAAGGGATTTCGGGTCATTTGTGACCCATTGTTGTGGTTGTTTCATCCATTTTTGTGTGGGGAGCCTTGCAATTTTGCTGTTCAAAGGGTCGTCAAATGGACAAGAAGACCATGGGGATCGATGTTTATCAATTCAGGCCATAAAGGGCATATCTAACTGATTTTTAATTTCATTTTTTAGCCATCTATATGTATAATTTCCATGATTAATCCAGTAGTTTTTGTTCCTGTAAGGTTTGTACTTCTGATTTCATAATGGATTATTCACATGCAAGTTGAGCCCAGCTCGAGCCAAATCGAGGTTGGCTCGTTAACTAAACGAGTCAGTAATCGAGTTCGAACTCGACTCGTTTATCAATATTAACGAACCGAATTATAAGAAAAATACATATCAATATTCTTATTTTCGAGCCTTAACGAGCTCGAGCTTGAGTTCGACTCAACTCGTTTTGTTTAACAGCTCCGAGTGCCACCCATATCCCTTACATTATCACTCACCATTCAAAACAACCCAAAAATTCCTCGAAATAGCAATACTTCTTCAATGTCCATACAACACACTTGAATTCTCCCTCCAATAACCCAAATTACTAAAAAAAAATAAAAAAAATCAAAAATCAAAATCATCCTGATTAGGCTTTGGAGACGTCAGCAGCGCCGTGTACAGCCTCAACCTATCCTCGCCGGGCGACGAGCACCTCGACAGCGGCCTCCTCGGCCTAATAAACGACAGTGACGTTAGCGTGAGCCGATGCTTGTACCTTCGCCACGCCAGCTGTACCGCCACCGCGGCCCACGTCCGCCACCCGGGCGAGTAGTACCGCGCGCTTCTCTTCACCTTCTCGTTCACGAACGTGCACCGGAAGTGCTGAGTCACGTACCTCACGTCATCCGACTCGAGCCCGAATGCCTCAGTTGTCTCGAGGGTGACGAGGGTCGAGGATGATGGGGGGAGGCGCTCGACAAACGGGCGGCGGAGACACCACGAGAGAAGCTCGTCACCGCTAAAGTTGCCGGGGCCGAGCATACATCGACTCTCGAGGCCATCGCGAAGGATTTGGCTGCTCTGGAGGTGGCCGCGCACGACGAAAAGCATCCTCTGAACCGGGTCGCCTTCTCTCGTGATCTTGCAAGAAAATTCTTTTACACGACATTAGAACGTTTACCAAGAAAATACTATGGTCGGCAGGTTTGGCTATCGACTGATAGCAGATTGTTGTAATAGTTGATTTGTAAGTAATTGCTCGGCAAACAACAGAATGTATAATTGTCTTTCGAAATTTTATGTTCAACATGTTATTTTACGAATCCTCTGAAACTCTAAATGAGTTCAGCCCGCTAATTTTACACCAATTCATTAACATCCAAAAACGATCTATTCAGATTATAAATTTTTTCACTCACCGTTTCGCCTTTAGTGAATATGAGGGACTTCACACGATCGCATATGTTCTCGAGGACGAGATTATCCATGTGCTGGAACAGAGGCACCTGACCACAGCGAAACAATAAAACATCACATTTTCACGCGCTTTTAGCCAACCGTAAACATAAAAAAAGAAACGCGCTCACATTGTTCGAATTTTTTCACCTGTCGAACCAAATCCAAACACAGATGATACTTGATGTCCCTCCTAAGCCCTTCCGGCAAGTTTCGTGTCATTTCGCACTCATCGACCCCACGCATAGCTGCCCAACGCTGCCTTTCGTAGTTTCGTACTCTCTGCCTAAAAGAAAGGGGCAAACGCCGTTTTCTCATCCACCACTCGATGTTCCTCATCTTCAGCTGCATTGCCTGCTTTTTCGACGTGGTCGCGTGCAAGAAAACCTTAAACAAAAAATTATTTTTATTATTTCTTCTGACATTATCATCACCACACCTATCTTCTTTCGGAAAGAATCTAATCGGAACCTTATAATGAGGAAGATACATTGTACAAACGAACGCTCTTTTTTGACACATTTCAACTTCGACAAACATACAATAAACCACTTAGTTCAAAAGGAAAAAAAAAAAAAAAAGAAAAAAAAAAACTTCACCTTGATGTTACCAATCAGCATAGTGACGAGCAATAGCCCGGTGGTTAGAACGATGATAATGAATACGACTTCCAACCAATCGGTCGTGCTCTCGAGATTCCCAAATGTACTGTCAAATCACAAATGTTATATTTTTTTCGTCCATAAACAATAATCACTAAACACAAAGACGAACAGAGTTCAGTTCGTTTCGTGAAATCTCGAACTCGACTCGTTAATATATATAATAAAACAGAAAAAAAAAAAAAATGAATTCAAACAAGTCGAACCAATTATTAGGTACTTTGATGTAAATTACACGAATCACACATTATTTTGTTGCTTAATAAATTGGACTAAACACAACACCAATTAAACACTACATATTCATACCTTAGAGTCATTAGGCCCCAAAATATGGGGAACAAGACTTTCTCCAATCGATTGTTGTTGGTGACGAGCTGCACGGTCCATTTGTAAGCTCCGTAATCGAAGTTGTCAAAATTTTCGAGGCAGGCCGATCGGGCTTTTTTGTTCTCGGCCCACACGAATCTGGGCCCGTCCCTAACAAGATCCTTTGTCCCATAGTACACAGATTCTTGACAGGCTGTCATTCTCGGGCTGCAGCCATTGCTGAGAAAGCACTGCCTTTTCAAGCATTTTGCAGCTCTTTGGATGCCCAGCAAGTACCAACATGCTCCCACAGCCTAATCAAATTTGAAGTAATAATAATAATTATTATTATTATTGATTGAGTTTAAATGAAATAGTCGAGCAAGACTTCTCTGCAAACGAACATTTCATGTTCTCGAACAACTCGTTTAAGGTTTTGATTTATTAAACGAGACGACCCGTGCTTTCACAAGCTTAAACAAGGAGATCGATTTGACTCGTTTATTCAAAGAACATCTGTTACTTGGCTCGACTCGACTCGAATCACTAACTCCCTTAATATCTACCAAAGAATTTATAGATTAATTATTAGTATTTTCGAAAATAAAATATAATGTATTTGCGAATAAAGAATTAATCCAGGAAATTTTTGCATATTGTAGTAGTCATAAGCTATAAAATATTGATATTTATAAACAATAATTTCAACACTTAGACCTATAATAAAAATCAACAGAAATATAATCGAGCAATAAATTGCACCAATGTCCTTATTAGAACAACTAATTATTTACCAAACATCTATGTAGGCAACAATTTAATCAACTAAGCAATCAGCTACCAAAGTTATTCACTATTCTTTACCCAATAAAAGACCTCAAACAAGCTAGATATATGATTAATTAGTGATGACCTAGAAGAATAAGGCAATTATAATGTTTAAATTTGTTTGATGATTATAGTTCTAACTAATTAATAAAACACTAGCTACTTACATGGGAGGCAACAAAATAGGCAATCATGTTGAGAGCAATGCCCCACCAAACGGTGCCGAAAATGTAGCCGGAAACATTCTGCACGCGCCGGAGAAGACAAACGGAGTGGTAGATTTTCGGCAGATATTGAAACAGAAAAACAATCAACGCCACCGTCATCACCACCGTTGTCGAACCCTTTTCCAACAGCTTTGGGATTGCAACCCACATCACAATCTGCATATACTTTTTCATCGTTATAATTTATTTTTTTCCCCTCATTTTTCCACAAATTGCATAAAAGCTACAATAAGTTTAAAAGCTAGCTACCTAAATAGCTCATAAATTAACTTGTGATGATTACCAAACCCTGAAATACAAAATAATTTGTGTACAATAATGAAAACTAAATAAACATAAAAAAAAAAGAAAGAAAGAAGAAGAAAAATTCAAGAAGGTAAAATAAATATTATTTACAGTACTCTCATAATTAAAAATTTACAGAAAATATCAAAAATTGTAAAAATATTGTTGAAAAAAAATAAATTAAGAGAGATAAAAAATGAGTGTTGAATGATTTGGCCTGAACATATATAAAGACACAGAGGGTCACATGTATTTGTAAGTTGTGACTGCAAATTAATATAATACATTCAAAATGACATGCAACTTCTCTTGTCCCCATTAACCTTACAACCTCAATCCCCAACAATAATTCCAAAAACAAATCCTTACACACATTTTGGCCTCACTCTCCTCAATGTACCAGAGAATCAGATTCACACTATTTAATTCTTTTCAGAACTAAGCATTAAAATATAAATGAATTAATTAGTTAAAATAGAAAACCACATTAACAATTTTTTTTTATATGAAATCAAAAGATAATAATTTTTTTCCTATTTTCTAAGTAAATAAAATGGAAATAAGCTGAAATTAAATACACTCTCAATTAAGGTGCATGAGTAAATTTAACATTTTAAGATTTACAATTTTCTCCATTTATTACAAATCTGGTTTTCAAAAGCTCAATATATTTTATTTTATATATAATAAGGTCTTAGTAATTTATTTTTTATTATTCTTCAAAATTTTATAATAACTCTGACACGTACGTGAGTATCTGACACTCAATTTTAGTTAACCGCAAAACTCAAAACTTCTATTTGTTACCAACATTAAAAAGTTGAGATGAGATTATATTTGCTAATTCCGAATTTTGATTTAATCCCAAAAAAGAAAAACCGAATTCACCTGTGGCAAGGGAAGGATTACAAAGAGATCAAAGATGAAGCCTTTCTTGGACTTGAAGTACTTCGGGGCCAGCCCACGGGCGGCAGCCGCCCGTGGGCTGATCCCTAACCGGAGCCACATATTCCAAACGTGTAATGCGTCAGTCATGCACCGGAGCACGGTCACGGCCACCGCCAGCCACCCGTCCACAAACAGGCACAGGCAGCTCTCGCTTACCGACAAAGCATAGAAGAACAACGGGTCGACGAAAAGGCCGGCCGCGCAAGCAAGGAGGTATATTTTGTTCCATTCCTGGGCCCACACCAACTTCGGGTCCGGAACCGGGCCCCACGGCCTGCAGGCCCGTTTTCGCGGGCTTATTGGGCCACCGCCGTTATCTTCCTCTTTTTCTTCTTCTTCTTTGTCGTCGTCCGAGGTTAGTTCTTCCGATTCCTCGGAAGAGTGGTCGGTGGTGTAGGAGTTGCGGTGGAGCCGCTCGTGATCGTGGTTCGGCATTGGTTAATATTTATTTTTATTCATTATTTATGATTTTTTTTTGGGGTTGAATGTGCGTGTATGTGTGTGTTTCTTGAGGTTGATGATGGATGAGAAATGAGGGTTTTTTTCTTTTTTTTGTTGGGGTAGTGTAATAAGTGATGGGTGTATATATCTGAAGATATGGGAGAAACGGATGAGTGGAAGTACTAAAATGCCCCTTAAATTATGTGTGCATAAGTTTTCAAGGAAAATTGAACTTTTAATCGTCTAACTGTCACAAAAATTGAGAAATAGTCTGGTAATAACTTTAATTACATAAACCACCCCGCAACTACAAAAAATAAAAAATAAATAAATAAAAATAAAAAAATTGTCTTTTGGTTCTTCCAGCGACAAAAGTTAAATTGGTCCATGTAACTGGCTGCTGATGTAAATATTGTTTTTCATTATTTTTCGTACACGTGGCAGGTAAGTTGCCAAAAGTCTGGTTTTCCGTTCAGTTACAATGTGTATTATAGTCAACGAGATCATCGAACTATTTTTCAATTAGGTGTCAGTTAACATAACTAAGTATCTATTTTTCTTAAGATTGCATGACATAATTTTATAATTGGCCTTCTATAATATATTGTCCACTTTCTAACTTTTATATTTGATATTGATTCTCATCAACTTTAATCCTATAAAATGACATTTTTCTCCATTTTGGTCTCATTTTATTTTTAACGTAGATAAAAATTAGGGACAATATAGAGGACCAATTTTGAAAAAAAAATAAAAAAAAATTGAGAAAAATATCAATTTATAAGACCAAGGTTTGTGAGGGTCAATCTAATTTCAGACCGACTTATCAACTTATCAAGATTGGCTTACAATCCATGATGATCTCTAGATTGTACATTAATATACTTGAAATATATATGCAATTTCAACAATTCAATAAGTTTCTGAATAAACATATCATTCAATGTTATTAAATGTTTGAATAATAATAACAAAGATAGAAAATTGAACTTCATCTTTATCTAAGCATAGTGATTGTTGGAGAGTCATATCAATATCATTGATGAGATTATGATTTTTAAACCAACTACTTGACCGTGGGTTATATATATATAGGGGGTTTTTTTATTTTTATTTTAATTTTTTTTTTAAAAAATAAATAAATTAAACCAGCTATTTCACACGCGTCATCTAACAATTGGGCTGAACAAACATTTGATTATCACAACTGATAATTGTCAACTGTAAAACCAAATCTTTAGAATACACATATATATATATATATATATATATTTTTTTGTCAATTTCATTCTTTAAGTTTATTATATCATATAATAAGCATAAGCAAATGTCATTACTTTTATATATAAGTAATTCACCTACTTACGGTGGACACATATTAATATATCCACTTATGTGTGTCATGCACGCATTGGTGATATAGTTTTTGAATATATTAATATCATCAATGTTTGAATGCCACATAAGCAGTGGACATATTAATAGTGTCCACCGTAGTATGAGAGCATTATTCTGGAACATATATAAGATTGAGAAATGTCATTTTTTTTTGGTACAGGGACCTTCCGGTTTCTGTCCACAGGGGAACCGACTAATCCGGAATGGAGCCGGGTAGGACCACAAAGGCGGCGAAGCTCTCCTTCAAGAGTTTAATTTTAACACTGCTGCATTCTCAGGGCTCGAACACAAGACCACTGATTAAGCTGAAAGAGACCCAAGCCATCTCATTCAAACGCTCTTGGGTGAGAAATGCCATTTTAAAATAGATAATCCGTTGTCTTTATTTATACACGTGAAATTTTCACTAAAATAAGAAAATAGATAAATATTAATTAAGATTCTGGATTTGATGAACACCCGTTTTTATCCCTCAGTTTATTAATGGGTACGTAAGATTTATGTCAACGAGTTGCTAATAAACTACTCTTTCAAGCAGTGACAACTTAATTATATCTTCATTATATGTATTTTCTGCAATTGATAGTTACGAAAACGATCCATTTATTAAGAAATTAATTGTAACGTAGTACATAAGTATCATGGCCACCATTATTTTTTATTTTTTATTTTTCTTTTGTTAGCCTACAACCACGGTATTTGGAGTTATGCCTCGACTAATCCGTTGGTCGACCCGGGTCGCACATCTGACAGTGGTGGGTGAATCTCCTAACAAGAGTTTTCTGCGTCATGGCCACCTTTTTTCATTATAAGTTGATGAAATAATATGATGTGCATGAGATCATGATCTAAGGGTAGTTTTGGCAGAATGTTGCAGGACAAAAAGGACAGATATTATTTATATTTATTAAAAGCAAGAAAATTAGGGCTGAAAAAGGGGCCCTTCACTCATTCCAAATAAGTCTGGACAACACAGGTTCCATGCAATTTCCTCCTTTTTGTTCTGTAGTCTACCAATTATTTCAAATAAATATTATTCATATATCTTATGCATATGTATATAACTTTCGTTGGAAAATGCAACGGATACTCCAACGATAGTCGAGACTCGAATCTTCTATTGGAATTAATATTTTCTTACAATATTAGTTGAAATTCGTTACATAATTTTTTGTTGGAATATGCAATTTCGGTTATTTTTTTCTTCTAGTTAATAATCCAAACAATTGGGAAAAAAAAATGTCATTTAAATTATCAAATCTAATAGAAATTCCAAAGAAAAACTGAACATTTTCGTTTGGAATTTTTCAACGAAAGTTTAATATTGGAATTGTTGTTGGAATATACTGTCATTGAAATTTAGCGATTTTCTCTAGTAATGTCACTTCCGAAATAAATTCAATCCCAAAAAAA